TTTAGAGGATTAAAACTATATGGGTATAACTTTGGAATAAGAAGAAGTTGGAATTTTTTGTTTTTCAAGATAGATTTCTGTTTAAAGTGAGGGACTTATCTTTAGAACAATAATAGGGGCTTTAGGAAGTACTTCTGTCATAGAGAAAGGAGACCACATGTGGCTTGACTGTGTCTCAGTAAACCCTGCAGTATACAATTTTTGCGATTTTAACATTATGATGTCTTTTCCTGTGAGTCGCCTGTTCATTTAAAGTGATCGTACTATCACGTAGTTCAGTCTGCTAGAACAGAACATATTTAATTCATATTACAACTACTGAAATAACATTTTCTTGGCTATTTAAGGTGCATTGCAATATCTTCTCTGGAGTCTGTTCCAAGTGGAACAGACTGGGCGGAGAATGGGTCAAGACTAGCCCTTGGAAGAAAGCCTTAGAGGTGTCGGTGGACAAGAAGCTCAGCATGTTTCGGCAATGTGCACTCACTGCACAGAAAGCCAGCCATGCCCTGGGCTACATCAAAAGAATTGTGACCAGCAGGATCAGAGAGGTGATTCTGCCCCTCTAGTTTGCTTTCATGAGACCCCACCCAGAGTACTGCATCCAGCTCTGGGGCCTCCAAAACAAGAAGGACATGGAGAAAGTCCAGAGGAGGCCACTTAGTTATCCAAGGGCTGGTGCACCACTCCTATGAAGACAGGCTGCAAGAGCTGGGGTTCAACCTGGAGAAAAGAAGGCTCTGGGGAGACCTTAGAGAAACCTTCAGGTACCTGAAGGGAGCCTACAAGAAAGAAAGATGAAGAGACTATTTACAAGGACATGTAGTGACAGGACAAGGGGTAATGACTTTAAACTTAGAGTAGATTTAGATTAGATACTAGGAAGAACTTCTTTATTGTGAGGGTGGTGAGTCACTGGAACAGTTTTCCCAGAGAGGTTCTGGACATCCCTGGAGATGTTCAAGACCAGACTGAACAGGGCTCTGAGTAACCTGGTCTAGTGGAAGGTGTCTGTGCCTGTGGCCGGGAGTGTTGGAGCTAGTTGATCTATAAGCTCCCTCACAACCCAAACCATTCTATGATTCTATGAGTCTGACCTCCACATTCATCTTACCTTTGGTGAAACCAATGGCATTGCAAAGTTTGCAAGAGAAAATCATGTGTGGTACGGGCAGTAAGTTGTCAGCTATGAAGAGATGTCTGGTTTAAATTCTTAATATATTTCAAAGTATGCTCACGAAATTGTATTTGTCATTGCTTTATATTTGTGAGGGAAAAACTCTTGAGCAAAATTTTCTTAGAATGCTAGTATGTGACTGTTTTACCAAACATAATTTAGTGCATTTATAATAAGTAAAATGCCTTTAGAAGTGTAAGAGAAATGGATAAAGAATTAGGAAATCCAGGTAGTCATGTTTGCCTGGAGGCATTTTCTGAGAACCGTAGTGAGTCAGAATGCAAATCCTCATGGTTTTGCTGATTTTTTTGGTCGCTGCTGATTACTGTAAAATTGATTCAGGAGTGTTGCAGGATCTCTGCATATGTTTAAACCTCATCTCTGTAGTGTCACAGGCATTTTTCCTCTCTGTGGGTTTTGGACTGAGTAGGAAAAAATTCTCATAACCTTCATCTTAGCATTTTTTTTCTTATCAAGGAACAAAGAAAGAAAATATTCAGTTACTTCCGAATCTTGATCTCAAGTATAATAGCACAAGTTTTCTTGGGTTACCTATTTCAGGACTTTAATGGTATTCAGATAATGTTTTATCAGTTTGGATCTAGACTGTGTTAAGGATAGTTTGCTTCGAACATGAAGAATTATTATTCTGATACTTTTAGTTAAAAGTACTTTAAGGTCATATAACGTTATTTAATGAAATTTCAAGTTTTACTTTTTTCTTCATCCTGAGAATGAATTTGAGCTTTAACTCCACTACGTGTACAATTTTACAGCTTGACATTAATTTCTTGAATTTTTCATTATGTAGAATTTTACTATATGGACCATGTGTTACAAAAGTACCCTGTGCCCCTGTAAAGCTTCAAAGAAGTAAGACAATATAGAGACTTAGCAAGGAATTTCTCTGAACAGAAAACACATTAAATAACTACCGCTTGTGTTCGGTTATTTCAGTTGGCAAAGTTAACTGCGCTGTGTTTGAAAATAGAGGAGGCCTGCCATATCCTCACAGAAACACTTTTAAAACATTGAGAAAGTCCTTTGCAGACGAAACTAGCATGGAGGATGTGACTCCAGAACTGAATGAATGATTATACAAGGAAGATATAAGAAATAAGTATTTAAAAAGGATTATTAATAAGAAAGATTGTGTTGAAAAAAAGCAAAGGTATAAAGGACATTTGCTGCAGAAATGAGAGCCTAAGTTAGGACTTTCACTGAAAAATGAAACTTCTAGAGGACTTTTAAATGACAGCAGAAGGTCATTTACATATTTAAATAAAAAATACAGGAAATAGGAAAATAATTGAAGCTGTTCTGTATTTATGATGGGACAGAAAAACAGGAAAATCTAGTTGGAGACTTAAAACTAATAGATACTTCACATTGATTTTCACTCAAGGAGAATGTTGACCTTAAAAGAGGTGTGATGACTAATGAGAATAGGGAAATGACCTCTTTCTTCTCTGCTTCTTCAAGAATTGGTTTGCTGAAGGACAGATAAAATAACGATATATAATGATACTTCTTAGTAGAACTGTTAAATGAGTTGTGATACGTATGATCAGTGAAGTTATAGAACAGGTTTTATGGAAAGAAAGCTTTAAAATATGGTTATAGACAGAAAATGTCATAAAATGCAACAAGAAATTATTAAGATAGAAGGTATAGGATTAATCCATATCTTCCAGTTGCCAAGAGAATGAAATAAAATAGACATGCTCTTAAGAGAAGTGATTTATGAAAATAGAGACAAACAGGGCAGTTAAAAGGCGGGAATGAAACTAATTAGAAGATGGTGGTAGAAGAGGATGTACAAGGCTGGAGAAGCACACCTACAGCAGGAAGATATTGGTTGGCTAATTTTACGGTAGACACAGAGATAAAAAGTCAGAGTACCATTATGGAATTTGCTGAAGAAGCAGAAAAATACATAGATATAAGCAGGCTAAGAATGTAACTGTGGAAGTAAATAATTTTGAGGAGTACAGTAATAAATGTGACATAATGGAAAACGAATAATAGTGACTAATAAAAATGTTATGCTATAAGCAGAAATTCATCATTTGCCAATGACCCAGAAGGAAAAAGGAGCAGATTTTGATCCAGTATGATCATCAACCATCACTGACGTGCAGATTTAGAAAAGCGCTACGTCCTAGTAGGATAAGTCAGCAGAAATATGGTAGAGATGGGGCAGTAATGTAAAAAGAAGCAAAAAACCTTCAACTGAAACTCTCAACATGTCAGTCATCTCTATTCAAGCAAGATAAGATGAAGCTGGGAAAGACAGAACAATGCTTCCTGAGATGATTAGTAGAATGGCAAGCCAGTTGTTTGTTGGGTCTAAGGGAATGTGTGTTGTATGATCCAGCAAAGAAAATACTGAGAGGGTTTGTAAGAGGTGTGTATCCATATATTAAAGGTGAGCTTAGGGAAAGGAAAGCTTTTGAAAAAGCTTTATTTATATGTAATCTGGCTATGAAAATTCTTAGGATGGGGCCCATAACAGTGGAGCAGCATATAAAATCCAAAACTGCCATCAAGCCACTTGCTCCAGTTCTGGCATCAGAACTGGGTAAATCACCCAAATCTTAGGAGAAAAATGCACCAATTGTATTTTTAGCTCTTTATGCACTAAATGTAAAATGAAAGAATTAAAGCTGAACTGATTTGAATTTGCTAATGGTGTGTGCACTGTACCCTCACTGTGCTGCAATCACAGGATGGCTGTGACCTCCAGGCTAGAAGAGAGGAGGCCATCATCTAGTTAAAAGGATGTGTCTTAAGTTTTCCCATGGTTAGGGTGTGTGAAAGAATGCATTGGGAGAAGAGAGGATCTGGAACAGGAGAGCATAGGAAATACATACTTAGGAGAAAATGGATACAATGATCCCGAGATGGATTGTTCCTTTCTCCATTTTCTGTGATTCTGGAATAGGTAACACTATTAATGATCATGTGGATTTTAATAACTTCTTTTGTGCTTCAAAAAAAATGGGATGTTTTTCATTAGACCCTTTATGAATTAGAAAGGCAGGATTTTATGCCTGCTTTTATGTGCATAGATCAGTAAAGTTCTTATCCGGTCTGATGAGATCAATAAAAGTCTTTCTCCGTGTCTTAAATGACTCCAAGAGCAAATCAAAACTCAGAATATATATTCAGGTCAATTGTTTTCTGGTTTTGAGATTAACACAGAGCAGAAATAAAAGGTTTGGGGCGAAATTCTGCTCACACTAACTTACTATATTTTACTTCAACTGTCCTCTTAAAGTCAAAGAGATTATTAATGAACTAGGTTTTTACTCAATGTCTCTAGAAGTTTTAATGTACCACAAGGGCTTCTTGTTTAAAAGGGAGCAAAGGTTAGACATTTTTTCAATTTAAAATGTCCAAATTTCTCTTACAAGGTCAGTAACTTTTTTTTTTATGATTTTCATATTTTAGAATGTGAACACTTTTCGGCTTAAGCCAATGGAAATGCTTAATGTCTGATAATATGCAGAGCTATGGTTAAAACAGCATATGTTGAATGCAAAAATGCATCTTATTTATTTTTTATTTTATATTTTAGAACAAAAATTCTAGATACTGTAACATTCTGTGAATGGGACCCAAAGGTCACACACAGAATGTTACTTAGCTATTCATTTATTGGTTTCCAGAACAAAACACATGTGAAAATTGAATTTAGCTATACAGGCAGAACTGGAAATCTTCAAATTAAAAATTTGGGGATGTTGGAATGTGTAAGTACAGGTTAACGTGTTCTGTCACGACTTAAACTCTTGTTTGTTTGGTTTTTCATTTCTTTCAGTTTGCTCCCAGTATTCTAGAGGAGTTTTTGCCATTTTTGGACTATATGATAAGAGATCAGTACATACCTTGACCTCATTCTGCAGCGCCTTGCACATCTCCCTCATCACGCCAAGTTTCCCCACAGAGGGTGAGAGTCAGTTTGTGCTGCAGCTGCGGCCATCCCTGCGGGGAGCCCTCCTGAGCTTGCTGGATCATTATGAATGGAACCGCTTTGTTTTCCTGTATGACACAGACCGAGGTAAGTTGTGACCCAGCTTTCTTATCTTTATTGTTCAAATGACTTTTGCAAGAGCTGTGAATTTTTATGTCCCATTGAGAGCTCGGGGAGTCAAATTTTAAGGGGCCTTTGAGGTGAAATACCTCTGACTGTGTAGCTGTGTGGCTGAAGCTAGAATTCCTTTCTCTGCAAAAATTAGATATTGCATGTACATAGTATGTAATCGACCAGTCAAAGCCTGTGCTTTAAGTCTAGAATACTAAAACATCTTAACTAATGTTAGTGAAACAAAGACAGTTCAATAAGCAGAATTTTACAGCTTTGTTCACTCTTCAACTCACTTTGTAAGTGACAGCAGTACAAAGAAATAGAGAGGAACAACCACTTCTCTGCATCTGCACTGGTGTAAGCTGAGATGCGAGTGAGCCTGTGGGACTTCCAAACTTTGTAAGGTCAAGGCACAGAAAGGGTCTACCCTCATGCTGTGACAAGTAGTGGGGGCGAGAGGCAATACCTGCCAGGCATGAGATATCCACAGGCCAGCAGAGGGTGAGAGTGCTGCAGTAGCCTATCTTCTGCTCCTTTCATCTGGAGTTCTCTCTGTGCTGGACTACACTTTTATAAAATACATAGTTCATTACAGAAAAGGGTACAGTCTCTATCCACATCCCATAGCATCTCAGAACTAGTTAAATGGTAAAAAACTACAAGTGCGTTACTACACCTCACCACTCAGTGAGGAATTGAGAGGTAAAATCTGTTCTCCAAGTTGTGTGTTTGTTCCGCTGGCGAAGCCTTCTGCCTTTGTTTATGGAATAGGATTGAGCCAACATAGCTGAGCTTCTGTGAAAGAGGCAAGATTTTTATGTTGATGACTTGCTTTCAGGGGGGAAGCAAGCGGCATAGCTGTAGTCAAATAATTATTTTACTACAGCTGTTTCAATATAGTTTCCCATGTGGACAGTATATTCTGGAATTAAAGTGGCTTTTTTCCAGTATAATTACTCTACAGTAGAAAGAGGGAATTACGTTAACCTAACTAAATCTGTTTAATTATTTGAGTACAGCTATAGAAGTCAATTTTCTCATATCTACAAGCACTAAATTTTAGCGAGTTTTTAGCTTGATATACTGCCTAAATACCTGAATTTAAAACAAAATTAATATGGAAGGAAAGAGTTTATGTTGTTCCATAATTGTTTGTTTGTTGTTTTTAAACTAAATATTTTTTTAATTCTTGCTGGACCCATAAAGGAAGTTCTGGGATTAGACAACTGGAAAGAGAAAAATGTAGTGGAATTTAAAAGTATTTCTATTCAAGATATAGTTATAGGTAGAAAGAAAACAAGCACATAATTACAGATGTGGTCCTACAAGTTCAGGAAATTGTTAAGAGAAGGAGTGCACAACCTTTCTCATCCAAATTCACATGCCTGATTAGATTGAGACATCATTTTTAAGCATGCAATATCACACCGAGGACAGTTTCAAAATGCAGTCTATAGCAGCATGGTTAATAAATGATTCTTATGGCACTGAACTCAGCAACTCTGAACTCATCAGCATGTCTTTGATTAAGAGATGACATTTGCCAGCTTGGATGCAGGAGATGTCATGTGAAAAGTGGGAGTTTAGATTTTTGTCTGTCAGTATCCTTGGTAGAGTCGAGACCCTGGTACCCAACAGTCTGTCAGCATCTCGTAATGAGACCCTTTGCCAGCAGATTCACGAGATCAGAGGGTACCTCAACCTTCCTTGTTAGGGGGAACTCAACAGAGCCAAGACCCCTCAGGGCGTCCTGCAACTGGTGTTTTTCACTGCTGGCAACTACAAGGAACAGTTTACAGAGTAACACTTCTTATTAATACAAATTGTAACAGATTAATAAGGTTCGAAGGTTGGTGATAGTGTCTACTGCAAAAATATGTTTTAAAGCAATATACTGATACATACATTAAGGAAACACAAGCTCTGATATGAAGCAATCTAACTAATATGCTGTGGGATGAGCACAAGCAAAAGCTCTACTCCAAAAAACAGCATTTAACATGCATAGAGTATATTTCTCACCCAAGATGTCCTTCTGGCGGGGGGAAAAGACGGGCTCAGCCCATCGACTGATCCCACAGTTTTGGTGGAGATCTTCTCACACTTTCCCCCTATCCCTAACTTACTTTTATACTATTTTCTTTATGTTTGGGTGGAGTTTGAGTGTCTCTAGTCATAAATACCTTTTATTTCTGATTGGTGTATTTAATGGGGGAGGTGGTGGTCGTGGTTTGATACCTGAGGAGGGGGTTCAACATGACTGTTGCTTTCAGCAGCAGAACATCTTGATTCTCCCTTATCAGATAGATACTGTATGGTCTCAGTACCACAATGTTCTCCCATTCTGTTGGGATTCGAATGGAGGGGGGTCACATAGCCTCCACTTTGTTCCACACTCCGTTCTGTTTCTGTGAGCAGATGTTTATCGTCGTACTGGGGAGCATGTCAACCTCAGTCCATCAGGGAGCTGCAGCTGCTTTTTACCTTAAAATTCTGAATTTCCTCTAGGTTTACCTCTATCCATCATCGCACAGGGTGCTACATTGGATGGTCTCTCAAATTCTGAATAGGTCTTGTGATGCAGTTTAATGCAGGAGAAAATAAGATTCAATGCATCTTTTCATATTAAGATTAATATAAAGACACATAACTGCTGAATCAATTTTCACTACTTTTACATGAGAAAATTTAAATGTGAACTTGAGATATGAGAAAAAAAAGTAAGCATCATCTCTTACTCTCAGAGTAACTGGAAAAAGAAAAAAAAATCATTAATATTGAGTCATAGGGTCTTTGTAACTGAGGCCTGAAATTAACCTTGTCCAGATTTTTGCCAGAGATCCTTCTTTTAGATGCCAGATGACAGTCTCCCTGTCTCTCTGAGCAGCCCCCTCAAAGCAAATTGAAGGAAGGTGAATCCCCTCAGGCTTTTGGTTTTGTTACTGGGCCTACAAGTTATCTTTGCAGCTTGACTGGGAAGCTATGAATAAGCTCTTACGGGGGAAGGTAAGCAATACACATAGATTCCAGCCCAACACAGGTGTCTGTGAAGAAGGCAGTATTTAGCAGCCATCAGTACTGTAAAAAGCAGAAATCCTTGGCAGAAGGCTGTATGATGAAATTAACTTAGGCAAGCCTTCATCAGCAGTGGTGGGCAAATGCATGTTGTTTTCAGACCTGCTCTCCTGGAGCTTTTCCATCCTCATTGTTTCTTGGTTTGGTTGCATACGACAATTACTGCTTGCTCTTAGGGGTTGAAGAATTAAGTACTATTACTGAGTTAGGTTTCTCTGCTGTATCATTCCATTCAACTCTTTGCCACTGGGAGCATCTATGTTAACATTTCATTTCAGGTCAGGAATGCACTTTTGTCGCATCTCTCCACATTGTTCCTACTTACTGCACTTGAATTTACACCATGTAGTAGTCTTGGACCTCACAAACTCTGATGAGGTGGTGACTTCACCTATTATGTTAAACCTTCCTTTCTGATGTTCTGCCAAACTCACAGTCTGGAAAATCACTGTCCTGTGACAGGATGCAGATACTAGGAAGAATGGCAAAAATACAAAATTAATTGGATCTAGCAGGGGACATTACAGAAAAGGAGAGCAGGTTTTTCAAAAGGCATTAGACCTAAGAGAACGATGAAGGAAAATTCAGCTCATTATTTAACAGGGGAAAGTGAGCAAGGAGAGAGTGACACTGGAAGCTAAAGCCTGAAGGGTCCTTTTCTTTCAATACATTTCTCTTTCTCTTGCCCTCCTTCCATAAAAAGGTTTAATTATGACCCGGTACTTAATACAATTAATATTAACAGCAAAGTGCCAGGAACACAGACAGAACAGGGAAAAAGCACACTGTAGAACACCGAATTATGGAAAGCATAGTAGGAAAGGGCTGAAATGAAAACTATGCCTCCTTGAGATACCCAGAGGAAAGGGAAGTCCAGGGTAGGAGAAGTGTTCAGTTAATATTTGATGTGACCTCTAAAGGGAATTAAGTGAAAGAAACAAATGAGTACACCAGAAGAACATTCAGTTTATATATGTTGCTTTATTGTGTTTGAGAGGTATTTAGTTTAAAAAGAGGCATACAATTAAAGGAAGCTGTGTATCTACAAATCCATGGGATTTTTGACCTGGCACAAGTGTGCCTACTGTATGATTTTGATAGTTGACAACAACATTTTCTGGCACCAGAAAGAAAAATTTGGACCCTGAAACCACAGAAGAAGGCTGCAGAGGTGTGAGGTGTGAGAAGCTGTTAAAGAATAAAATCATAGAATCATTTAGGTTGAAAAAAACCCTTAAGGTCATCAACTCCAAACATTACCCTACCATTGCCAATACGAAATATAGAATTGAAAGGTGCAAAAATCAAGCCTACAAGAGGTCAGTGTTAGTTTTCCACACTGTGTGCAACTTTAGTGAGACCTGGAATGGCTGAAGTTGCTAGTAAAACTGCAGAGATTACCCAGAGCTAAGGGGTCCCAGAGTGAAGTGGTAGAGGGGCTGTAGAGCAGCATGGGACACATGGGAGATAGGATGGCAGCCAGCAGGCCAGCAAAACAACAAAATCTTGTTTTCACAAGATTTCAGCATCCATTTGAACTCAACTGTGTTTCCCAGCAAGGGTTTTCAGCCCCTGACTGTGATAAAAAGCAGTAGCACAAAGGATAGAGCTACCAGCTGGCCTAACAGTTGGTTCACTAGAGGCAAGGACTGTAAAATAGTTATATTCTCTAGAAATTAGGGATCACATGTGACCCTGCCTATGTGCCTTGTTAATGCTTCTTTTTTTTTCTGTTGCTTGTTGTAATTACATGTTCATAAAGCCAACTCAGTCCTGGTTGCAGGTGAGAAAAATTCACCTACTGTGCAAAAGGTAAATTTAATTTTCCCATATTTCTGGATAGTGTTTTTATAGCAACTCCTTTAAAGTTGAAACTGTTCTGTTCTATGACAATCTAA